TGCTTGAAAAACAACACCAAGCCATTGCCTCCTTGGGCAGTGGAAATTTAACACTCACCCCTGTGTATCTGCTCTTTCCTAGGTGAATCTAAGCGGTTTCGACCCAGAAGACCCAGGCCCAGTAGTGGTGCACTGTGTGCTTCCTTCAGTGCTGAGCTCTGAGGAAGCATGAATCGCTGCAGTTCTGATGACAGCTTTCCACAGGACAACAGTGATGGGGATAATGAGCTCATCCATATTCCTGCCCTCGTTTCTCCTGGCTCTGCTGAAGATGCTGACCTGAGCCCAGCAGACATCGCAGTCACCAGCCTGGATTCCATCTTTCCGAGTGTCTTTCCAGTGCAGCCCACCCTGAGCAGAGTCATCCAAGTGCCTGGACAGCAGCACCTCCATGAGGAGCAGGTCAGCATTGCTGAGGAGCAGCTGAGCCTCTTGGAGGAGGACTTAGACTCAGACAGACAGTCCCAGGCACCGGGCAGCACGCACAGGTGTGATGCAGTCACACTTCTCTCTGAATTCTGTGCTTGATTAATCCGAACAAATCTTTGTCCTATGATGAGCAAACCACGCTACCTACCAAATGATGTCAACATGTTCTTTCTCACCCTTCATTTCCCTTTCCTGCATGTGAAGCAGCAGCCCGCTGATCATCGGGGACTCAGTTTGCTATCAGGGAGCGTCAGCGGTCATCAGAAGGCTTCGTTGGCTGTCAGAGGGCTCCACTGATCATCAGATATCTTCACTGACCGGCAGAGGGCTTCACTAATGAACAGAGGGTGTCATCGATCATCAGAAAGGAGATTTGAGGTGCCTAAGGGAGGGGATTTTGGGACTCCGTGTAGGGTAATGATGGAGGGGAACTGGGACTGAAGGAAGAGGGCTGAAGCAGATACAAGTGAGGGGCAATAGTCTGAGAAAGGGAAGGGGTAAAAGGAGAGTGACCTGTGCACATTGTGGCCATAGAGAAGGTGGAACAAAGGGTGAAGGGTTTGGGAGGAACTGGAAGGAGGAATTGGGAGAGAGGAAAGGGAGGGTACTGGGGCTGCTTGGCAGCACGGGGAGCTCCGTCCTTTAGGATTTTGGAGCAGGCAGCACAGAGGGGATGGAGAGGCCCACAGGTGCAGGACATGAGGTGCGGGGCACGGAGCTGGGGACCCCTTCCAGCACTTAAGGGTTGGCCTCTGCCAGGCAGGGACAGATATGAGCGGTTCCTGCTGAGCATGGGGACGAGGACACAGACACACAGAGTGTGGCTTTGTTGAGGTCTTTATTGATCACTGGAGGATGTCAGTGATCATCAGGGTCTTCATTCTTCTTCAGAGGACTCCACTGGTCAGCAGAGGATGTCAAAAGGTGTCACAGACCATGGAGAAGCCTTGTCCCTGCAGGGTTTGTGCCCCAGGAGTTTGGGCAGGAGAGGGGCTGGCAGCAGCCCAGGACAGGATGTGGGTCCCCTGGGGGCAGCAGCCACAGCCCCTGTCCCATCTGCACAGTGACCCTGGGCCATCCCTAGGACACCTCGAGACCCTCCTCTTCTGCACAGCTGTCCAAAGCATGAGGGGTGGCAGTGGTCCCCCTGGAACAAGGCATGGAAGGTGCCCTCCATCCCATCCATCCCCAGGCCCTATGGCCAGTGCTCAGGGCTCCAGAGATCCCCAGGGTCCCTTAATGTCCCTGTTCCAGTGCCACCCTTATTGTAACAGACTTCTTCCTTATGTCCAATCTAAAGACTCTTTCCCCTTCTTTCTTGCAGCCCCCTCAAGATACCAAAGGCCCCAGTCTCCTCTCCAGGCTGCCAAATTTGGTGCATATCAAGAAGTGCTTCATAAAGACAAAACAGTGGGACTATAAAGATTAGAATATCTTTAACCTCAACAAAATATTTTCAAAAATCAGATGGACTCTGTTATAGAATCTAGTTACATGATAGCAAATCTGACTGCAGGAAAATCAAAACCATTTCCTGATGGTGACTTTGTTAAGCGATGTACGGAAAACACAACAGGTATAATGTGTCCTGTGTCCTGATTTAATAAAAAAAATAAAAATAAAAAAAAGGACAGGTGTCTGTATCAGATGTCTGTGGCTGCAGAGGCTCTTCCAGAAAAAGAATAAGGCAGCAGAACCTTATGCTCACACTGCAGTACAAATGCTACAGGAGCAGAAACAAACTGGGAAGCTCTGGGTTCCTCCCGGGAAGGCAAAACTGTACAGAGATGCACCAACTGTGTTTGGTAGTGCCCTCCCACCCTCAGATTTCCTGCACACAGCCTCACGTCACTCCCCTTCACCCTGTCCTAACTAAGAGACCAAAGGAGCACTGATTTAGTACAAAGCACAGCAGCATCACATTAAAATGCAAGTTGTGGTTTCGTGGTCAGAGGTATTACAGCCCAAAGGTTGTAATAAAGTTCATGTAAAGGAGGATAAAATACAGATGTTCCATACACAAAAGCAAAGAGGAAAGGTTGTGAGGGTGTTTCCCAATGAGAAGTACGATTTCAGAAAGGGACACGTAGAGAACCCAGAGGGATATCGAGGCAAAGGTAACAATGACTGCTACAAAACCAATGGTACAGAGAGAGAATTCACTGCCAGGAGTAGCTCACAGTCCAGTGATAAAGATTCACAGCACTGGCTGCAAGGTAGTGTTTTAATTAAAAACCCTAATTAAAAACAACCTGGATTTCTGAGCTAACTGTACTTTTAGTAGGGGGGAATCGCTAAACAGTGCTGCAAAAGAGGGATGCAACAAGGGGCATAGCAATGGGGGCTTGTGCACAAAGGAACTGATGCAAAGCCTCGTGCAAACTAGAGGGCTGTGGGGGGGGGCAGGCTTTTGGGACCAAAGCAACAAAGGGGGGGGGAGGGCACAGGAAGCGGAAGCAGGAATGGGAACTGGTGGGGGGAGGAGGAGGAAGGCAATGTGGCTGAAGTGTGCAAGATGGGATGGTGTGTTTGCATGGCAAGTGGTAGGGTGATGGGCTGCACACGTGTGTGTGGCACAGGTGGTGGAGCAGAGTGCAGTGGCCAAGTCCTCCCTAGGCAACATCGGGTGTCAGCAACAGCAGGAGCACTTGGAGCACTGCCTCCAACAAGAGCAGTGCCAGGATGGCAGTTTGGTGGTCCGAAGCTGCATAGTTTCTACTCTGGACCAGTAGTAGTGCAGCAGCTCACGGAATGCCACTGGACAAATCAGGCCGTGCACTCTTTGTCAATCTCTAATTGTGACTGTTTTTTATTGACTACAGCCAAAGCTGGAGTGCCGAGTTGGGTGGCACTCGGAATGCTGCCCTGTAACTCCGCGCACTGCAGCTGCTGCCTTCTGCTCCTCCTCTCAGTCCTTCAGCTGCAGCTTCTGCATCATCTCCACAAGGCTGCTCACTGCGGAGAACTAGAAAGAAACAAGGCAAATGTAGAGAGAGGACAGAAACAATCTAGGGAGATCTCATTAAGAAAGTCTGATCAGTAAACTTCCAGAATGGCCCCATGTGGCACAGCACGTTCCTGCCATTCAGGACACTGACATTCCTTCCCATAACACACTGCCTATGCTCTGCAGGGGGAACGAGGTTCCAAAGGTCGCAGTGCCCAACATGGCAAGGCTCTTTATCACAGCAAAACCCTCCAGCCGTTACCAACAGTGTCCTTCTCAAGCCAGAGGAAGGCATCCAAGCTCCCCAAAGCAGCTCTGACTGACAGCGTGATTTCCTCAAACACACAGCTGGGTGTTTTCCTATTACATGGCTTGCCCTGGGATTCTGCAATATCTTTCATGTCTGTCAGATGGAGGCCCTGAGAACAACAAGAGCCGTATCTGTGCTCACCAATGACTCACCTCTGCATGTGCGGAGTGAGTACAGTTCCACTCTTCTCTCTTTTTGTCCTCGTCTTCTCAGCCAATCGGAGCCGGAGGCGCAGCTGCTGACCAATCAGAAACCGGAGGCGGGCCAGAAATGCCGCTGACCAATGAGAGGCATGAACAGACCGGAAGTGCCCCTAACCAATGAGAGGTCGGGGGTGGGGTGGAGCAGCTGTGGGGGAGGGGCCTCGGTATGGTGCTCTCTATTGTCATAGGGGATGGGATTGGGATCGGGATTGGGGATGTGGGATTGCGATTGGGATAAGGGATTGAGATTGACGGGTGGGTGATGGTGTTGGGATGAGGGGTTGGGAATGAGATTTGCAATTAGGATGTGGGGTGCGGGGATATGGATATGGGATGGGATATCAGGAATTGGGGTATATATGGGATGGGCTCTGGATACGGGATGGACTTGGAATGGATATGGGATCATACAACCTTAGAATCGCTCAGGTTGGAAAAGAGCTTCAAGATCATCAAATCCAACCACAACCCAACCATACAATCGACCCAGTCTATCCAGGTCCCTCTGCAGTGCCTTTCCCTCCAGCAGATCAGTGCTCCCTCCCAACCTGGTGCCGTCTGTGAACGCACTGAGGGTGCACTCAGTCCCCTCATCAAGATCATTGACAAATGTGTTCAATAGGAGCGGCCCCAGTACCAAGCCCTGGGGGGCAGCACTCGTGACCGGCCGCCAGCTGGAAAATCCTGCTCTGTGTGTACGGAGTTGATTGGGTCCCTGTCTGAAGACAAAACTGGCAGGACCCAAACAATGTGGGGGCAGAAGAGCCATAGCATGGGAGGTATCTTTATGCCTATCTGCACAGCAGGCCCAGCTGCCCCTGTTTCACCCCTCCATGGGAACTGCCCCTGCTGGAGTCTCTTCTGGATGTAGTGAGCCAGGGTGATTCCCCTCCATCTGCCCATGCCTGCTACCCATCCCCGCGGCAATTCATGCACTGAGCATGTACCATGGAGAGCTGTGTGAAACGCCCTCTGCATCCTGCTGCACAAAGAACGGCAGGGAGAGAGCAGGGTGGAGCTGGCGGCGGCAGCTGAGGGACACGGCCATCTGTGGTGCCCCATCCTGCCCCAGAGGTGGGTGTGGGGAGCTGGGGGGCTGTGACACAGCACAAATGACTGCAGGCAGAGGTGTGGCAAAGGGAACACAAAGCTTTTAATAACGTATCATAGAAAACAAGGAGTAACAGTAACAACAAAAATCCCCAAATTCCCATCCCACAACAGTTGATTGCCCAGACAACATTCCACAGCGCTGCAATGATGACTTTGGAGGATGGCTGGGTTCTGGAGGGGAGGGATGGGGCTGCTGGTGGTGCCTCTGGACCACTGCCGCTGCTGCCTGGTGCCGCAGGGCCGGCGAGGAGCGCAGGGTTACGGGTAGCCGTACTGGTTGGCTATGGCCATGTCTATCTCCCGCTGCACCAGGAACTGCACGGGGCCGATCTTCATCTGCTGGGCCGCCTGCTGCCGCTCCTCCTGGGCCAGCTTCTTCATGCGCTCCCGTTCGGGCCGCAGCTTGGCTGTGATGGGCAGTGACTCCTCCATCACTATGGGTGCTGCACCGCCACCCGCCCGTGGCCCCACGCAGGGCACAGAGTCCATGGGGCGCTGCGGCTGAGGCTGCTGCTGGTGCAGCACTGGTGGTGGTGGTGGTGGTAGTGATGGTGGGTCCCTCTGCAGCGGTGATCTCCTCAGCGGGGATGGGCGCAGGCAGCTTGGTGCCATCTTCTCGGCAGTGCCCTCCTCTTGCACCGTGCTGCCTGGAGATGCTGGCACTGCCTTGTCTGTGCTGCTGTGTTGGGGCTGGAGGGCAGCAGGGCTAGCACTGGGTGAGGGTTGGGGCTGCACAGAGGGTGGCTGGCGCACCGGGCCCACCACAGTCACCCTCTGCCCCAGAGGGTGCATGGCCTGGATGGATTTACACAAGTGCATGCGCAGCTCACTGGCAGTGCCCACTTGCCTGCTGCTACTGGCTCCTGCACTGGCCCCAGACAGCTTTGCTTGGCACGGGTGTTTGCGGCCTTTTCTCTCCATTCTTTCCCTGCATGGTGGCAGCTTCCTTTTCTTGGCTGGAGCGCTGGTGGTGGGCTGCTCCTGCTTGGAGCTCTCCCCTTTCTGGGGGATGCCATCAGGTGCAGGGCGCTTGGCCCGCTTGGTGCTGCCCCTGTTGTTCTTTTCTGCCACCCGGCTGGTGACAGAGCCCGATGACAGGGGCGAGTGAGACTCAACCACCTGCGGCTCCCTTTGCTGCACCTCCTCGATGGGCTGTGTGCTTTGGGCTGAGGGATGTGTGGTAATAGCCAAGGTGGTTGGTTGTGGACTGAGCCAGGCACTCACAGGTGGGTACGACAACCCACACTGCAGCTCAGGCAGGAACCCAGGGGATGGTGGAAGCCCCCAGAAAGGGTCGGTGGGTGTCCCGGAGGCAGGCTGTGTGCTGAGCTCTCTGCTGTCCCCGGTGTTGTCAGGGAGCTCAGCGATGAAGCATCCTGGAGCAGGGCTGCTGGGGTTCTCATGGGGGACCTCAACAGCTCTTACCACATCTGAAAATGCAAGAACATCCCCCAAAATGGCGATGATAGCCTTCCCACACCAACTCTGTGCAAACACCCACCTGCAGCTCTGCAGCCCCCAAACTCATCACTGATCCAAGAGAGCAAATCCTGGATGTCCATGATGTCCTCCGGCACATCCGAGCTGGTCACCACTGCTGGGAAAAGCAAGAAAATCCCAAAGGGTCAATGCCAGCTCTCCCGTACCATGTTCACAGTAAGGGATCTCGGGTGAACGTTTCCATTACAAATCAGGACAGGAAAGGTAACTGTAAATCCCAGGGATTAAGACTCCAAGCAACAGGCAATGAGAACAGTCCCAGGAAAGAACAGGCAGAAAGCCTAACTAGAAAGACAGTACACCAAACCCAGATGCCTGTTGTGTGTCTGTACCTCTCTTGGGTGCTGTGCCACTCTCCGTGCTCCTCCCCTGGCTTTCCACATGGCTGCACTTCAGAGGAAGGCCACTTGTATCAGCTTCTGACAGAAAAGAGACAAGACAGACATGAAGAGCATCTCTTTGGAGGAAGATCTGAGCACTGCCAACCACAAACTTCTGGTCTTCAAGAGCAGTTTTGTCAATTTGCCTTTCTGCTGCTAAAGCCTTCTACCACTTCTGCAGTCAGCACAGAACTGCAGCATCCTTTCCTCTCTCCTCCATCACAGACAGCTCTGCATGCAGCCCTGTTTAGAGGCAGGTACCCACATCACAGCTCACAAGAGCTTCTTACCTGTGGAGGCTTTCCATTTCCCTCCTTGCCCCACACCATTCCACAGATGCACAGGTTTTGTCCCTACAACAACAGATCATGTATTGATTTCACAGACACTAGCAGGCAGCAGAAGTATTGTCCAGTAAGCCCATGTCCCCAAAGAAAACAGAAAGATGCCACTTGGACAGCCCAAACACAAACTGACAGTTCACTTCTCACTGCCCCTTCCTGCACTCCAAATGGATGCTTACTTGACATCGCCTACAGCACTGCAACTGCAATCTTCAGCTGCCTAGATACCCAAGTTCTCCTTTTGGACAGGAACCCTACAGAAAGTATCAACAAGTCATGAGGAAGAAGCATTTTCCCAGATTTCTTCTGCCGTGCAATGTAGTCTCTTGAGGAGGGCAATGCTTGGAATGCAGTGCAGTTCAGCTGGCTCCAGCTTGTTTCTGACTGCCATGGCTTCTGTCAGCAAATGCCCCCAGGTCCCTTTTTCCCCCACAAGTGTGCAGTCAAGTGTCCATGTCCCCAGCTGAGCACCTGGCTCTCTGCCATGACTTCAGCGCGGTTTGCTGAAACACCTGCTGGGTATGGCACACTAAGCAATCCATGGAGCAGTGAGGTGCAAGTTGTACTTTATGAAGACTGCACTCTGCTTCCTTTTAAAGGTCTGACACAAAGGTGGGGGCTCGGCAGCAATTTTCCAGGGAAGAATGACATTTCATGATCCTCACCGAATCGTGGGATGGAATCTCAACAAGAAATGTTTCCTCTGGATACAGCCATTCAGAAGGGCACCATTTGATCTGGGAAATCTACCCCAGCCCAGCTTTTCTGCTGAGATACCTCCTAGCAACCACCCAGCACCAAACCCAGCTCACCTGGTCAGCCTGCTCAGCCTGTGCTGTGCCCAGCTCACACACACACTGCAGTGGTGCTTCCAATGGGCTCTCACAGAACGATCTCTCTCAAGAAAAGCACAGAGCTCAGTCTCCGTGTGCAGCACGCTCACGAGAGCATGAGCTCTGCTCGCCAGCTGTGGCACAAACGCTCCCACCCCAGCAACGACTGTGACCTCAGCGAGTGCCTGCATCACTTCTGTGCTTTCATCATAAGCAAAGGAATGGTCACCTCCTAGATCCAAATTTTAGGAAACCAACACCAGGGTCACCCAATGGGGTGAATGGGGTTAATTGAATAGGGGTTAATTGAAGTAAAGCAACAGAGAAATGAAGATGACTCTTGTGCAGCCCAATAAAAACACAATATGGCCTCGTAGTGGTCAGTGGAGTACCAGAGGAACTAGTAGGAACTGGGAGGAGTGCACATCAGTATGGACCAGAGTAGTCCAGTATGGCTGAGTAAAAACCAGTAAGGACCAGTATGGCCTCAGAGTGGTCAATGGAGTCCTATAGGAATCAGTAGAAACCAATAGGAAGGCACATCTGTGTGCTCCGGGGCCAGAGCCGACTTTTCAGGATTTGGCTTTAGGCTCCATGGCCGGTGCCAGCCTGTTTGGCTGTAGATGTGGCTTTAAGCCCCAGGTCTGGTGCCAGCCTCTGTGGCTGTAACTGTGGCATTATGGCCCAGGGCTGGTGCTGGGCTCTCTGGCTGGAGCTTCAGACTTCAGGGCTGGCACCAGCCTCTCTGGCTGGGGCTGGGCTTTAATCCCCAGGGTCGGTGCTGGCCACTCAGGCTGTGGCTTCAGGTCCAGGTGGCCAGGGCCAGTCTCTCTGGCTCTGTTTTTAGGCCCCAGGGCCAGTCCTGGCTTCTCTGGCAGCATCTTTAAGCTCCAGGGCGTGTGCCAGCCTCTCTAACTGGGGCTATGGCTTTAAGCCCCTGGTCTGGATCCAGCCTTCTGGGCTCTGGCCCAAAGTCACCAGGGCTGGTACCAAATTTTAAGAAAACAAAACAAGGGCCACCCAATGGTATTATCTGAAGTAACAAAACAGAAATTAAGATGACTCTTGTGTAACCAGCCTGGGTCATCTCTCATTCACACACCGCATCATCAGACCCAGGAGATGTTGCCTCCAGGCTGCCCCCAGATTGAAGGCTGGAAGTATTTGGGCTTCCAAGCAATCAGCAAGCATTTAGATGAGTCAGCCCTCTGGTTTTTGTGAGGACAGACAAGTCCACCTTGGAAAGCCATCTTGGCAAATGCAGAATAGCTTTGTTCTTGAGCCACAGCACTCCATGGCCAGGCACTGCTCAAACACTGGGCCTGCATTTCCTCCTGGGCATCCACATGTGCTCTGAGCCTCCTGCAGCTTTCTGCGGGGTTTGTGGCTTCCTGCTGGGGAGCTCCTCGTGTTCTTCTGCAACTGCCCCCCAGCATCTGCAGCATCTTCTGCAACTGTGTCCTCTGGTACCGTACCGGGAGATGCATCAGAGTCCATTAGCCTGCACTTCCTTCCTCCAATCAGCAGCTGCTCCTACACTGACCTTCATTCACACCGGGATGCGGTCCACTTCTAGCACCAGCTGACCTGCAAGACAGAGAAAGGAAATGTGGCATTAGCACAAATGCAGAAGGCCAGGGCTGTGCCACCACCACGTACTGCAGGCTTGGGAAGTCAGCTGCAACTGCAACCTTTGTCAGAAGTAAAACAGGCACTGTAAATTAAGTGTGACTTCTGAACTGAAATAATTCCACAGTCAGAAATAAATAGTGAAATCTCTTACTTAGCTGTGGGTGGTTACTTCTGAATTCTTTTGCTTTTGGGAAAATATGGACTTGGAATTGAAGGACACAAGAAAAATGAGGAGCACTTGGCACCTCAGGAAAACTGAGCAGTGCAGGGAAGATTGTTGCATTTCTTCTTCTCCTGGCCCAGAAAGTAATCTTCCCACCTTAAAAAGAAAAGAGAAGAGCCTGACATAGAGTAGACACATTACAGTCTCACATCATGGGTAGAAGCTGGAGAGCTCTCGTGGTACAAAGCTCAGGACAACTGTAGAAATTAAGGTTGTCTCTAAGCTTTAAAACAATATGAAAGACAAGGTTAAATGCAAAACATCAGCACTTCCCGCAGAGCACATCACACAGCTGTAGGCACCACCTGAGAGGTAACAGATCAGAAAGGAAAACCTTACTGTGTGAACACAGGGACAAGCTACTCTCTTCTTCTGGGCCTTTGTTCACAGGATTTCCTCAAGAGCGCTGCTCAAGCTGCTGCTGTCTCCAGCTGTTGGTCATTTCTACCCGCTGGATGCTGTGCCCACAGGTCATTCTGCTTTGGGCAAAGCCTGCTGGCTTACTCCAAACCAAGGTCGCAGGCCACGCCAATCCAGCTGCTTTGTCTGAAAAGGCTCAGAGGCCACACATGGGATCCTTTCTGCTGGTGGCTCTCTCTGGGCAAGAACCTCCACTCTCAGAGCAACTGCCAAGAGCAGGAAGGGAGAAAAAACTTCCAATCCCCGTGGATGTGGCTGTCTGCAAAGACAACAGGCTGCCTGCTCTTCAGCAGGGTGATGCTCACCCAGCAAAGCACTCACCCAGCAGATGCCTTTCCTTACACTCAGAACTGTCCCACATTTGGGCAGCCCTTCGATTACATTTCCAATCCAAATTCACACATATCTCAACCATTCCTTCTGTGTTAGTATACTTGGATCCCCAGCTGGGGCTGAAGAGGTCAACACAACAGAAATAACACAATGTGCAACTGGAAAACACATCTCAAAGCTGACCGACCTTGGGCACAACTCACCAACCAAGAGCCAAGCCTTGCAAACTTGGCCGATCTGAGCATGTGGGAGGGGGCTGGCAATCACACCAGAAGTGTCTATTTCAGTTGCAGCTCTACGTAGAGAAGAACACCAAACAGTAACAGGTGTGAATGAATTCATTCACAAGCTCCACAATGAATTTGTTCTTTATTAAAAAAGCATGCATTCCAAGTCAAAAAGGTAACAGCAGGAGTTGATATCAATGGAAAACGTTCCTCTTCCTACACCTCATCCTCCTGCCCCAACTTTGCTTGCCTCACCTTTACCCCAGCTCCTGGAAGATGCCCACAGACTTTAAGTCAGGTCTCAAATCCATAGGACTCCTTTCACATTACTCCATAAAAAAAGATTTCAGACTTGTTTCACGCACTCTAACTGACCAAGCAGTGGTATCACAATCACTTGTAACACACGGAAGCACCCAAACCCTGAGTATTTTTTTTCCCCTCCACTACCAGGTTCTTCTTAGCACACAAGACTTCTCTTGCTCCTATAAAACAACAGCCAGCAGTACAAAGCAAGCAGCTACTAAGGACTCTAAAAACAAAGCCTGATCCACAAAGCACACCTGAACTTCACAAGCACACCTGAGCTGCCTGCTTGGCTGATGATAATTTTCAGGTATTTTATGAGCTAGCTGAGAAGAAACAGCTTTTTGTGTTGGTTTGATTACAGGGATTTTTCAAAAGCCTTCCCTGCTGGCCTCGCTCTGCTCATGTGGGAGCCTTACAATTCATTTTCATGGTCAATGATTAGAGGCCACACTCAAAAGCTTCTAACAACTCCTGCACCAAGACCAACATCTTCACAACCATCCTTCTCACGTGAGCCAGGGAACAAATTCACAGCACAGTCTTTCTGAACTACTATCATATCATTAACATTTTGGGTGGTAGAAAGACACAGCAAATAGTCCATCAGATACATTCTGGCACATCTCCCATGAAAAACAGCATTATTCAAACACCTGTTTTCTAAAGATGAAAAACATACAGTAAGCAGCAACAAGAGGCTCTACTTTTAAATCTTCCAATAGGGGGAAGTGTTTATATCCACTTCTCCTGACAACACAAACACAGTCCCAGCTTTCAAAGCCCTTCGGCCATAGCACAAGCAGACTGCATGTACATTAAAGAGCATGCACATCCTCCCCTTCAGAGCTCCATAACTTACCGGTGTTTCACACTGATGTAGCCTCACTAAAGCTTTGTAGGTGTCAAAGAACAACTGCAGAAGGCAAGAGGTGGCAGCCAGAGGACAGTACAACAAGTCCTGATGCCTTTCTTACATCTGTGGCTCTCCTTGGTGTCTTCTCAAGATCTGCTTTCTTTCTCAGCCTCTCCACAAGGCTGCACTTCAGTGGAAGGCCTCTGCCATCAGCTTCTTGCACAGAGAAATCTAGAAATATTTGAAGAGCATCTGTTTGGAGGAAGGTTTTAGTTCATCTTCACCATCTTCAAATCTTCAAGCATCATTTCTTAAATTTGCCTTTCCGCTGCTAAAATTTTGTGCTTTTCCTACAGCCAACACAAACTGCAGTTTTCTCTCCTCTCCTATCAAACACACCCTTTCATGCAGCCCTGTTCAGATAAAGGTACCCAAACTACAGCTCACAGCATTCTTACCCACAGAGGCTTTCCATTCTCCCTTTCTCAGTAAGATTCAATCAAATCCCATGCTCCATCCCTAAAACAAAGTATAATTTTTCCATGTCACAGAAACCGGTTGTCAATAGAAGTCTTGTCCTGTTAGCCCAACTCCATCAGATATCCCTCAAATGCACTATTGTTACAGCCAGAACTAGCTCCTTCTTCAACTGCAATGTACTTACAGAAAGTATTCCTGGTCTCATTCCTGCTGAGGTAGTGGCAAATGGACCCAAGTCTGCCTGGCAGCTCTACATTGCTCAGAGCAAAGCTGCATGAGGAAAGAAAATGCTATCAGGTGTAAAAGCTGATGAACACACTTCACTCCTGAGTTGCACAGGTATGAATAGAAACACCTTCACACTTTGGCCTCCCCAAGGAATTCACATAGCTTTAAGTACCACCATTTAGACACAGGCTCATATCACTCCACAGCCACCAATGGCCACTGTCGGCCTCTCTATTCCTTCCACTATAGCACTGTCATCAGTCACTCTTTCCACTCAAGACTCTCCTGTTTTCTCAGTTACCTCTTTGTTGCACTAAGCAAATGGTATTGCCATTAGCTACTGCAACCACCACCAACCAAACCAAAACCAACAGAATTATCGGAAAGACCAAAAAAAAAAAAACCCACAAAAACCCACTCTGTTTGTCACAACTGTCAAATGCTCAACGAGCAGTGTACAAAAATAAGAGAGATAACTACTTGGCCTCTGAGTTTCTCTTAGACATCCCACGGAAAACAACCACTAGCTGAGTTAAGCAAAAAGACTGCATGTAGAAGTTGCTCGATGCCCCTCACTAGAAATGCAAGGCTGTCCCTTAAGCAGCTTCCACTCACCATCAACTGCCGTTCTGAACCCAAGTGCACAAAATTAATTTCACTTCCACTGCAAATTGCCATAGCCACCAAGGAACAGCCAAATACCCAGGTAGTACCTCGGTAGCCTTGTTCCTCCGGTTTTCCATCTTAGCCCATATCTCACCCCTTTAACCCCAAAAATAGTAACCCCACCATTTTGACAGTCAAAACACAAATTAATATTGCACTTACCATGACACTTTCCTGCTCTTCCAAACAAATGGTTGCTTGGCATCCTTGACAGCTCAGAAGTAATATTCAAACAGAAGTCTCTCATGCTTCGTGACAGAAGAAACTCACTTTTGCTTGGTGGGAAGGACAGTCCTTTCCCATTGCATCCCTTTGTGTACTGAAAAGTGCAGTTGGCTCCATATATCCCTAGATAAATCATCTTTCTGCATTCTATTCTGAGAGATGCCCCCACAAAGCCCCACATCTGAGGGGCTGACAGCAGCATCAGATCTACCACAGCACAGCTGGGCTCGCTCCAGCCATGGACTGCCCATACTTTGCATACAATTCACTGCTACTTGCAACTCCTGGGGCTTGCTCCTGCGCGTACACATCCTGCAGGGTATCAGGTCTTCAGTTTCCTTAAATCCCTTGAAAAATCTCACTGAGAGTCACCGTACTGTCTGGCTGGGATACAGGCACTGGTCCACCATTACCTTTTGCAGTGCTACTTGTCCATCTTCATCACTTTTCTAGAAAAGGAATATGTGGTATGAAACTGGCTACAGCTGGGTCAGAGCAGTGCTAGCAAACTGCCCAAGCACATGCCATTTTAAGAGATGTTCACTTTGAGCCTCTCCCAAGAGCACTACTTCTATATCCACACACATGCCCATGTATATTCCTGCACCACAAGCCCTGGCAACAGAAAATTATTCCACATTTCCATCACAATAACTGTTGTAGTTCAGCTTGTGCCAAGTTCCAGCTTCAAAACACAGCTCCTCAGCTCCCTTTGAACCACTGTGCACAGTTAGTGCAGAAGAACAAGTTCTCTGCAAATTCATCACCTGTCTCTGCATGCAGCAATGACTTCACGAGCATGATGTGACAACAAGCACCCTCTACCACACAACATTCAATGCAGGTTGCATAGGCATGTCTATATCTATTCTATATACACTTTGTTTTAGTATCCAAGAAAGGTCAGCAGAATCATGTAAAGAGCTGTAAAGGGAGAGACACTTCACAGCAATTCCCATTAATGTTCAGTATGAATTTCTAAGTCAAGAAGTGCTGAGATGTATCATGAAAAGAATTGCTATGCTGAGACTAGGAAAATGCCAAACACAGGCATTAATTCTCAACGGAATTTGTCAATGCAATCCCCCACAAACAACCATTTCATTCAGACTATTAAAACACGATAGCCTATTACGCAGCAAGTAATACCAAGTCACTATCCCTGTACTAACAGATGGGGATTCTAGTACATAGCAGCAGATTCATTTGCCCAGAGCACTCTGATATTGCAGTAGCAGGGCAGTGAGAGGTGTCAGTGCTGGGGGTGGATCTGCCCCCCAGCCCCTAGCTCCCAGCAGCCTCACCACCAGC